AAAAAAAAAAAAAAAAAAAAAAAAAAAAAAAAAAAAAAAAAAACGAAGGAGGAAACGAAAGAAAGGGCAAAAAAAGAAGAAAAATAGTTCCACACAATGGCATGGGCATTGTGTGTTTTACTGGGCAGGGTAATAGACACCCCCCTGAGGGTACGGATAATAATAGAATGGAACTGGAGGCGCGCCCATATCCATAACTGCACCGATTCCAGGTGCAGCAGGCATTGCATATGAGGAATTAGGAGGCATTTGTGTGGTGTCGTAGAAATATACTGTTCCACCAGCTTCGTGTGCAACGGTGCCTGACAGTGACGGTTGTTCTGTCGAGCCATGGGAAGCGGGAATCACATATGGGGCTTGTTGTCCAGGTGGTAAAGGCGGTACGGATGGCCCAGGTCCCACAGCGGAGTTATATGGTGGAAACTCCGTTCCCGAGCTAGGATAGTAAATAGCGCCTGGTGGATAGGAGGCAGGCCAGAAGGCCTGTTGGTATGCAGGCATATGAGACGGGGCATGGAACGTACGATCTTGTTTGTGGAGAGTTGGCGTTAAGGATCTGTGAGCGGAAGGAGGGGGGTGACCAGAGGCATCAGGACCATAACCGGAACCATTTGCAGACACTGGGACCTGATGATGGAATGGTTGTTCCTGCTGTGGTTGGGGAGGATTGAACGGGAATCTCGCCGGCGTTTCAATATCGGCGAGGGAAACTGCCTTCTGCGGACGAGGCTGATGCATGGGTATCGGAGCCGGACGGCTCTCACGAAAGACGGGATTTGGTGGTTGGGGATGAGGAGGAGGTTGCGGTACAGTAATCGGAGCAGCTGCTGGTCCAGCAGTTGTCTGCGGGGCCGTTCCAACGCTGCCAGGTGGCCTACCAGGTGGAGGAAGGCGGACTACTGGCTTGCCGTTCTCTGTTGTGACCATAGTATGTCTCGAGAGTACTGAACCCGCCGGCGAGTTGTATCCCTCTTGAGATGGCGCCTTTCCGAATGATGATCTTCGACTTACGGTGATACTCGATGTGTAGGTAGAGTTTGCATAAAGGCTAGGACGCCGTCCTCCGTAGAATCCGCCACGACCACGACCTCGAAATGTCTGTTGGTTGGGTCGCAAAGCTCGTGGAATGAAAATGAAAGATCTCTCTGTCGCAGGTAGGATATACCTAGGAGGTTGGCCTGGTAGTGAGATTCGAACGGGCTTGTCTCGACGTAGAGGGGGTCGATGTTGAGGTAAACGTGTGTGCTGCTTCTTCGAAACAGAAGGATAAGGGACCGGATGCTCCATGCCCGGTAGGGATACTACTACAGGCACATTTCCAATCAATGTAGTGCTAGAAAAAGACCTGTTGGGGGGTGACGATCTAGGGGCCGTTGGAACAGGTTTCGGAGGTATGATAGATGTCAGCGCCGATGTGTTAGAGGGCTTTGACCCAGATGGCTCATCTCCAACGACTGTATCGTGAAGATCATGTGTCCACAGTCCCTCGCTGGCAACTGGTTTGGCAGAAGTCCTGGAAACAGTCAGAGATGCATTGCCATTTAAGTGCTGATGTGTTGCCGTCAAGATGAATAAGTGTGCGGTCGAAGGAATCATACCTGCGAACATTACCATCCACGATGAGGCCATACGGCCTTGATTTCGATTTGTTAAATGGCTTGTGGCCGTTTGTCACTGTTTCCGTAGAACGCTTGTCATGTAGAAAGAAGCTACCTCGGGTAGGCACAAACACTGGGCTTTCATCCTTTTCCCTAATGTGTCTTTCTTGTTCACGACGCTTTCTGTCCAAAAATGTGTCTCGTTTTGGTTCTGTCGGAGGGGCAGACGGTGCTCTTTCGGTCTGATGGTTGGGTTCCCCCTTCAAGTCGTCAAAGTGTACCTCCATCACGTCGCTCGATTCGTCCAATATTTTTAGTCCATTCATCATTGCCTCCGTATCCGACACAGCGGTCATCAGGGGATGTTTCCTAGGTGAGGCAGAATGGCGCCGTGCCAACTCTTGGTTTGTTTCGGGCACACGACCATTAATTCGACGACGACCGTTGGCACCGACCTGCGGGGACGTAGACACCACATCGTCATCGCTGTCATCGCTGCCTTCACCATCGGCATCATCGTCATCGGGGTTGCTAATACCAGACCCATCACTCAAAGAATCATCCTCCAATTCTCCATCTATAGAGCCTTCATCCTCTCCTTCCTCATCTCTTCTCTTTCGCCGGCTAGCACCGATATTGTGACGACGGGGAGCCATCCAAGCGGGGGGAAATAAAGGAAAAAAAAATATTAGTGCTATTAAATGGTCGTATCCGAGGGTTATCTGGGTTTTAAAACGCTGGAAACAGGTCGAGGAACGGTCGCAGCTACCTGGGATAGATTGCGGCGAGACCGGCGGCGTTGGAGGAAAAGGTGGGCCAGACTGTGCACAACAACGGGATGGAAACAAGTTTGATGCTTCTTCACGGGGTAGAGCAGGAAAGGTGTGATGGACAGTATTGAAAGAGAAAAAGAAAAAGAAGTATGCACCTCAGAAGCGAGGGCACGAGGAGTAGGAAAAGGGCGGATAGTCTAAAGGGCGCAATAACTTTGGTGGTTTTTGAGCATGAGCCTTGAGCCATGACATCTCCGGTCCACGATGTCAAACCTTCCCAATCCGGTTAGCGCCCCAAACCACATCAGCGATTCTAGAACTAAGAGGGATCTACGAGACATTGGAAGGAAGTAAAGAAATTCAATGTCAGTTAGTTTGAAGGACTACCACGTTATTGAGGAATACCATATTAATATTGTTATACACCACTGGCTGCTACATAAGCCATTGGACCAGCAACAAAAGCGAAACGCAAAGAGAGTCGACTCTACAAGAGTTTGTTGAAATGCCCCCACTGCCATTATCGACGCTGTTGTGGCTGGTTATGTATACTTAATAATAAGCTACTCGCAGAAGGATTGGAAAGAAGATCAACCTATATAGCTATTATAGACACTTATTATGTCAGCTATTTGGCTTAGATACGGATTGCTGCTCCTTGGGTATCAATAATCTGGAGATCTATTCGCCAGCTGGGTCAACAAACGCCCGGATAGGAGCAAACTGTTGATCATTACCATGTAAAATCAAGGCTTCCCGAATGATATCAGACCCTTGGGGATGGGAGAAGCTAAAATCATGAACAACTCTCGGGCCTGTAGTTCGTTTTTCTCCCATTGAGGAGCTCCTGGGTACTGATATCTTCACTTGTAATAGCCACAAGCTATTCTCTTGTCTCTTTGAAGAGAAAAATCTTGGCCATTTCAATCGAACGTAGTCTTCTTTCCCTGAGACTCAACAATGGCACCACTAAGCTTTTGCACGGTTTCCTTGTCGTATCTTGAGTAATCCGTCTTTTCCTGCATAGTCCTTGCGGATCGCGATCGTTGAGGTGGTCTTCCGGTTGCATCCTGGTCCTCAAAGGGCCCTGTCTCACTAATATCTGTAGTTTGATTTTTCTTGCCTTCGCCGTCCTTACCAAAACGTTTCTTGTACCGTGTTGTTGCGTCTTCTGCAAACTCCATCCGCATACGTCGACCCAAAATCTGGTTTACCCATACCCTTCTTTGCTTCGGCTTCTTCGGCTTCTTGTTATTTTCGGAGTCAGACCCATGTAATTCTTCATCTTCATCGTCTTCGTTAACCATAACAAAGCCTCTCACCGCTGCTTCTGCGGCTTTGAGGTCTTCGAATGTCACCCAGGCATAGCCTTTGCATTTTCCGGAGTCTTGAAAAGTCGCTACTTGTACATGTGCAACCGTCCCACATTTTCCAAAGTGCTCCTCGATGGTCTCTTTTGTGGCGTCGAAGCTAAGGTTGCCGACGAATATACGCTTGGAGGGAGGGTTACCAGAGGCCGACCCAGCAGCGCCAGCCTTCTGATTTTCCTGTTGAGACTTTTCTGGTCTACCGGCAAAATTCTTTGCATCCTTTATAAGCACACGGCGCCCAGATAGGAGTTGTTCACTCAGCCCCAATGCCTCAGTCGTGGCCTTCTGGTTGGAGAAATCAACATATGCGAATCCTTTATTTTGTGCTCTACCATTCTTTTCCGATGGCTTCGGTAAATGTATTCTAGTGATCGTAGTTTCCGTGAAAGAACAGTTGCTTGTAAAGAATTTGCGTAGGTCATCTTTACCAACAGAAAACGCTAGGTTTCCAATCCAAATGCCGTAGTCTGAGCGTTTCTTGGAATTTTCTTCATGGTCTGCAGCGACTTCCGTTTTATGTTCGCTAGTAGTAGTCTCTGGTGGAGCCTCGGCAGATTTCTTCTTTGCTTTACGCAACGCTTTTTTCGATGGGGGTTCAGGAGCAGAGACGTCGATCTCGATCTCGGATACCTCTGGTAACTTCCGCTTTTTGTGGTTTGCTTCGTCAACTGCCGACATTTTGCTTGCAAACCCAAGCGACAAAGCAAAGAGAACAGAAAGAAAAAGAAAAGAAAAGAAAAATTGCGTTAATTATTAGCAGCTGAACAAGCACTGAGTCAGATTGTGGCACGATCTATCGGTATGAATGTTCTAAAAGGACTTTGTTAGGGAATAAGTAACTCATTGTCGAGAGGAAACTTTTTTTCTTCTCTTTTTTCCTTTCTTTTGACGGGCAGAAACGTTCCGCCCGGATCATTTGGTCCACAAGGACCTCTTGGCAACACTACCAGATCCCATAGCCGCTGAATGCGCGATCAAGGTTATTACTAGAATTGTTGAACTTATTCAACTCCAATACGTTATTACACTCACGTGTTTGTGACAGTTTTGACCTTTTCTTGTCAAATTCAACACCGTTGCTTCTGCTACACCATGTCACAAGATGCAGATGATGCCCAGTCCCTGGCTGAAAGCCTCCCCGATGCTCCCGCAGGTGCCCCTACCAAACAGTCTTACCGGTCTTTCAAGTAGGCGCATCTGTTCATGACTTTATCCAGTGCAGCATGCTAATTTGTCTCCCGCAGAAAGAAGTTTGCGAAGCTTAAAGTAAAATTTGAGCTTGGAATGAGAGAGAGCGAATCGCTTATCCGGGAGGAGTTGCGCATCCAGGATCTCTCAAAGAGAATACAGGAACAGAATGAGTGTGTTCCCCAGTCTATCTTTCTTCATGTATGACTCACATAATAATACTGTGTAGCCAGCTACTAGAAACCCTCCTAGAGTTTAACGACAGTCTATATATCTCACCGGACCTACGGTACGATCTGAGTGCTCCCGGAGATGATCTCTTCCCCCCAACTCCTCAAAGAGAGCTATCGCCCTCACACAATGATCCTTCTGCGGCTAGCGCAATGCTCAGAAATGCTAGAGTGGAGCTGACACTTGATGGCATGACGGTTGAGAATTACTGTGACTTGGAGAATTCTGTGAAACGGAGCGATGCTTTTGCACCACGCATGCAGTATACCTCGTTGATAAGGATCCCCCATACGCTTTCTCAACCAGAAGAAAACCAATCCGGAAATATTGTTTCGGAACATAGGCTTGGGTTCTTCACGCCTGAACACGAAAATGAGTATTACCTGGCTACCGACGCCAAACTAGGTGATACATCAGCACTCGTACAATTGAGTCGCATCCCTGAGAAACTTTCTTTTGTCGAACGTGAGAGAGAGGCTGCATTGCGAAATCCAATCTCGGTTTACAATTGGTTGCGAAGGAACCAGCCGCATATTTTCTTACAAGACAACGAGAACGCTTCCGAGAAGTCTGCCTCTCGACCATCGAATTTGCGCACGTCCAAGAAAGCAGCACCCAACCAGGCGCGGAAAGACGAAGATCCCCACGATGACGACAGTGTCTTAATGGATACTGGAGGCTCCAAGGGCAAACGCAAGCGTGAAGAAGACGTTGGTTCTAAATCCAAAGGTGGTAGCAGCAGCCGGTCAAGTCGGAAAAAGAAAGACGATAGCAGCTCTGGCGTCGTCAAACGTTCATCTAAGAGAACATCGGGGGTAGGTGCCTGAAAGCTCTCTTCTTTCATTCAATACATGTATTAATAGTGTTGGCTTTTGTAATTTTTCTATATTTTTCTTTCGCTGCATCGATTTGTATGGACGTTACTGAGGAAGTCCTGAAAGATGGATTGCACCAGCTCATCAGAATAATACCGGAAATGGTGTTCAACATTTCCCGAGCCCAGTCATAATTATCTGGTCTGTGTCAAAACTGCGGGCCATGGCTGGACCTGTTTTCCTATGTCGAAATTATGTCGAGATTATGTCGAGATTATTGAGAAAAACTTTTATTGTGCTACCTCTCAGTTCCTATGGTTGACTCGGCCATTTTCCTTCTTTCTTCCTTCCTCACTTTCTTGTTCTTGAGGGTGAATTTCTGAGCTAAGGATGCCTAACTAATACTGAACGAGACCGGAACGAGCTGAGACACCATGTCGCAAATACTATACTAATAAAGACCATTTATAGGACCAAGGCACAATCCGCTGAATAAAGCCCGCGGTAGCATCATATTCGAGCTCTACAGTGTATATAGTAGATTGCATGTCTTTTATGCTCCCCACTTTATATTCAATCCTTATTCTTACAATTTTCGTCATACCTTTCTATAATTTTATTTAAGTTTATATTATATTAATGTTAATACATTCCCCGCCCGCTTTTGTATAGGAAATTGGACGTGAATGATATGTTCACTGTCTATGATTCATGATGCTTACAGGCCGTTGTGCATAAAATCAATACCGAGTCCCCACTCCAAGTTTGTCATGTTTGCTCCCTACACAGAAAGCCTTTCTCACCATCATATGTTAGAACCCTTCCATATCAACATGTCACAATATACCATACTTCATAAATGTTTTGACAGCCAGACATCCGGCAGTTGAGAATTTTCAGAGCATGGCTATCACAATTCTTCCCCCGGTGGTCGACCATGTCGACATATCCCACTCGGACTCTGACGTGGATTCTATGTCCGTGGACTCGGACGGAGGAGTAGACCTAGCAACAGGAAGGACCTCAAGGCCGAGCAAACGACCTCGCTTAGTGGAAGGAACAGATATTACGTCAGGAGTGGTTACGCCTGGAGAAATTGTGACGGATGATCCACAATGGATGAGGTTGGTTGGTCCCATGCGAGGTTTTAGATGCGTTGGTACTTCATGGGCAGGCTGACAGGCATCCAGAGGACATGGTACCTATATAAACCCCCTTTCGACCTCCATAATTGCCACGGTTGCCGGTACTGTTCAGAAGACCAACAAACTTCTTTCCGTACAACCGCTTCGCGCTCGTTATACACCAGAAATAGGTGACCTTGTCGTGGGGCGCATTGTTGAAGTTCAGTCTAGACGATGGAAGGTAGATGTTGCTGCTCCGCTCCTTGCACAGCTCCCACTGTCTGCGATCAATCTCCCGGGCGGTATTTTACGTCGGCGAACTAGCGCCGATGAACTACAGATTAGAACTTTCTTCAGTGAAGGTGACCTAGTAGTCGCGGAAGTTCAGACTGTACATTCGGATGGTGCAGCTTCACTACATACGCGGTCTTTGAAATACGGAAAACTCAGAAATGGGGTTTTTCTTGCCGTGACCGGAACAGGTGGTAGTGGAGCTTCAAGTTCGATGGTAAAAGGAGGAGTAGGGTCTAGACCTATCCCTGCAGGAGCGATGGGCGCATCAGGCACGGGAGTAGTTCGGTCTCGGAGACAGGTGTGGACAGTCAACACCGCCAATGGAGGCGGCGATGTGGATGTCATACTCGGAGTTAACGGGTATATCTGGATTTCGAAACATGCCGATGACACCGCGGCCGCGTCTTCCACCACGGATAGCGTGTCGATTACCCGCATGGAGGAGATGGTGTCGAGCTCTATATACTCTAGCCAAAACGATGATATCCCGCCTCAAACAAGGCGAGAAATTGCACGACTAGCGCAGTGTATCCGAGTACTCGTTCAAGGGGGAGTGCGGGTTGACGAAGAGACCGTGATGAGCGCATATGAGGCTAGCTTACAAGTGGATTTAGAGGTTGGTGATGATGATGATGACGACGATCGGAGAAGAGAAGGGAGAGAGTATCTTGAAGGGAACAAAGCGCGGAGCATACTGGAATTGGTTTTGGAACGCAATTAGATATCGGTTCTGGGATGGCTTCTTGTATGTCTGCGACAAAAGAGAAAAAGAAAATATCAATAATAGATACCCCAGGGTAATGGACTATTACAAAGGAGATGCACAGTCATGGCTTCTCTAGACTACATATTATTGAGATGGCATGTCGACCAGTTCGTGCTACTCCATAGAAACAGTCGGGTGGATGCCTCAGCTGCCAGGCGAACCTGACTACTACTACGCCGGAGTACATACTTTTTGACGAAGAAGATAAGCCAGACCCCGCATCACGTGGAGATAGCCATAGGAACCATTGGTGGCATGGGATGTAAATGTAATCGCCATGAGGTGGAAGATCTGGGATCAAGTGTGCCTTGAGTACGAACGAATAGGATAGCACAGGGCCTGCTAATTGGGGGGTTCCTACTATTTGAATGGCTGTGGTGAATAGTCCAGATGCCTAGGTACATTTGATGGAGGTTAAAGAAAACTTATTATTTTTTTTTTCTTTAAAAAAAAATGAAAATAATTTTAAAAGAAATAATAAAATAAAATAAAATCACGGGATTCATCCTATTAGATATGGTAATCGCCGCCTACTGGATTTAAAAAGATTTCTTCTCATCTCTTCCTGTCGCCCACCCTCTGAGCCCTCAAATACTTTTGTATCTTCCTACCTGAAGACGTATCCTACCATGAACTTTGTCTCCGAGAAGTTATTCCTATTGTCAACTATTTCCATACCTCTCGCATAGCCCTACTTTGACCGACACTATTCTACTGCCGCATATAACGGCTACCCTCGCGGTCTCTATTCATATACTCTTCTTTGCTTCTAAAACTTTATCATCCTTTTTTTTGCCCTTCTACGGATCATACCTCGTTTAACAACGATCGTTGAATCCCACGGTTAAACATGCCTGATCTTCGTCGTCAGGTCTTTGAGAGTGGTAAAACCATCTCTCGGAAAGCAGCTTCGCGTGAAGGTTCTCGCCGGACTTCACGCACAAACTCTGCTCAAAATTCCCACCAGTCTTCTCGAAATGCAAGCAGGCATCCGTCCGACGAGGAAGACGCTGGGAATCTCAGTGATGACACCGCTTTGAGGTGAGTTCGTCGTCTCCATTTCCAATTTCTGCGTTCTTGTTCCCATCGCTAGTGGCGGAATGATGTCATTGGCGTTAACAAGGGAGTAAAAAAAAAAATAATAATTATTGATCGCACGTTACTAATGGTAATCCACTCGTCAGCATTGGCTCGCTGGACGATTTGACCGATAACCCTGAGGTTGACAACAACAATTGGGCCCAAGAACTTGGCGATGTCATCCAAGATATCTTGGATCGCAAGCGTAGCAGTGTACTGAGCCGCGAAGAATGCTACGCTGCATTCTGTCGTCTGTTGAAGTGTCACTATGTCGAGGAACGCATTCGAAGCAGCGTCAACGACCTTTTGGGCGCCTTTTGCCGGAGTGTCAAATTTGAATCTAGTGTGCGTGAGACTACCTTGGCTTTGCGAGCGCTTGAGCTCCTTGTCATCACCGCGGTCGACAACGGCATCTATGAAAATGTGGAACCTATACTTACTCGTGCTATTCGAGACTCGACATCCAATCTTGTAAAGACTGCCGCCATTCATTGTCTAGGCGCATGCACTATTTTCGGGGGTGCAGGAGAGGATGGAATTCTTGACCAGATGACGTTCTTCCTAGACATTGCAGCTTCTGATGGGCAGTCAATCGATGCTACCGACGACCCGAGTAGTGTCACCGCGGCTCTTCAGGAATGGGGTGTTCTGGCAGTCGAAATAGAAGACCTCGAAGGTGAAAGCGAAGATGCAATTCAAATCTTCATGGACCAGTTAAACAGCAGTGAGTCACCTGTCCAAATCGCAGCAGGTGAAAATATCGCATTACTGTACGAGAAGAGCTACACCCCCCAAGAGGATGACGATGACGAGGATAGCGAGCCCGAGTCAGACGGTGAATCTCTAGACGACCGACAGGGGCCTAAATTGATTAAGCGCTACGAAGCCTACCACAATACTCACGAGCTTGAGCAGCAACTCCAGTCACTGGCCACGGTACATAACAAACGCATCAGCAAGAAGGATAAAAAGAACCTACACAGCAACTTTGTCTCGATTTTGACCACAGTTGAGGATCCGCGTCGCGGTCCGATGTACAACACAGCCATCGATCAAGACACCAATCGACATTACGGTAGCAAGCTGACTGTGAAGGTCGGCCGACAGGGTGTGATGAACATCGACCGGTGGTGGAAATGGATTCGGCTGAATTCACTCCGACGGATTCTCCAGGGCGGATTTGCGGTGCATTACTATCAGGGCAACCGAGCCGTGTTGGATAGTCTCCCGGTCATGGTTCGCCAGCAGACACCGGCTGACCGGGGGGCAGCAAAGAAGACTGCGAAGTCGCGGAATAGTCGACGGTGGGCTGTCCATGAGCAGTCGGATGAGGATTATTAATTTTAGTTCGTCCGCTTTTGTCTTATCGTTTCGGGTCAACTCGCTAAACATACATCATACACGAAGATGTGTAATCATGTTGGCTATGTTCTCAATCATTTCTGTTACTGTATATTTTCTCATATTTTTCCTTGGCTAGTTTGGTTTGCAAGCAATCGTATCTAGTAGATTACTTAACGGAAGATTCTCTTCAGATCGATAGCATCTTCTTCAATCTTTAGCCATAGCATCTACCCTAGGTGAATCATCTACGTGGTACAATTGTCTTGGTGTTCTGAGAAGGACACCGTACGACAATATAGATAGCTAGTCATCGGAAACACATGGCCACGGCAGTCCAGATCATAATGACATGACTATATATACGAAACGGACATACATACATATGCGCTGACTCCAATGTAAGAAGAATAAAGTTACGTTTCAAACACTGGAACCACACCGGCCCAAGTTCCTTTCGACCGTTCTTCCCAATATCCCTCTTTACCCGACTTTAGACGCCACACGACTTCGCCTTCATTTCCGGCAAGATCATCGTCCACCCGGGTAAACCACCTTGGATTCCACGATTGACCTGCTGATTCCATCTCGCGGCGGCGGGCACGTTGGGATTCTTCCAGCTTGACCTTAACTTCCTCTGCCCGGTCAACGTCACCATCTTCCAAGGCCCGTTGGTCGGGGCGGAGGCGCGAGTCCGTCGGTGGAAGCTTGTGATCTTCGATTGGGGTGATCTCATTGAGGGTGGCTGCGAATACAGTGAGGCCGTAGTGCTTTGGTGCGTTGGATACCAACGGCCCGGCATTCCACACAGGTGCTATGGCAGAGCCATTCTTAGTCATCTGGAGTGAAGTGGTCCAGGTACCCGTTAGCCCGAGAGGTAATTCACGACCGCTAGAGTCCAGTGCTTTCGTGACGACCTCCTCGCTGCGGCCGGAGAACATGCCTCCTGCCTTAAAGGCCGACACGGTTTTCTGCCCAGTCGTCTCGTTCACAACCGACATTTCGCCGACAGGCTCGGAATATTTCTCACCTGCGATGATGTTGCGCAGGAAAGACGTGGCATTGGACCAACTGAAATGCTCACCGGTCGTATGTAGTGTTAATCTCATCTTTCCTTCGGTCACAATCTCTGCGGATTTCCCCCAGAATTTCTGCGTTGGCATGGGTGATTGCGCAACACTCCAATCCTTACTGTCAGCTTGGTAGGCTAGTTGCACGGGCCGGTGAGAAACTTTCTCTGCAATGAATCGGTACCCGAGATCTTCGCGGACAAGCTCGTATGTCTCTCCTAGCATGGGGTTGAAGGGCTTCCGAATGGACCGCTCCTTGACCCGGTTGCAAGACAGTGATGAGAGTGCGTAGGCAGTCACATACATAAGCCGTTCGACGGCATCGGAAGCGCTAGCAGCATGGTCTAGCAGCATGGAATATTCCATCACCTCGGCCGCACGTTGTAACAAGGAAAACGGCTCGTTAGAGGATACTGGCATCGAGATTTGGGAAAGGTCTTTACCGACGTTCTTGCGGAGGAACCCGATCAAACTGGGAGGCATGACTGTCGGGGCGGGAATGTTCGAACGACGAGGAACTTTGCTGAGCGGCAAAGGAGTGAGTGATTTGGGTTTGGGAGGAAACAGCGGGGCGTATCGATCACCCTGAGGCGTGGGAGTTTCAGAGGCTTCATCGTCACTGTCCGACGGCGCGTCGTCCACCACGACTTTATCCTCCGCCTGCCGGGCAGTAGCATCGGTAAAGTCATCTGCCCCTTCGTCATCACTATCACCCTTTATCTTTAACAGCGGAGACGAACTGCCTCCGTCGACAGCATCGAAGAACTCCTGAGACAAATCCGATTCTATGCTGAGTCGAGACTGAGTTGTCAGGCCGGGTGGATGTCGTCGATGTTTGCTTTCCGCGATCAAGGTCGAGAATTCGGTGACGGCACTGTCTAGATCGCGTAGCACGGCCATCAGATGGTCATGTATCTCTTCCATCTGATCTGGGTGGCTGGTGATGCTACTCGGTTTACGGTCACCTGAGAGCGAAGCAGTGTCTCCAGAGGAGGGACCTGGCACCACTAGTTGCGTGGAGGAGGGCGTGTTCGTCGTGCGTTTGACTCCACCCAGTTGGGAACTTCCACTGGCCTTCCGTTTCCAGAAGGAACGCTTCTCACGCGCCTCGAACGACTCATCGCCATTTGCCTCGGGATGTGGACTTGGTGACCGACCGCGAGGCCGCTCAGGAGCGCTGTAGCTCAAGTACTTTGGATCGGTATCCTTGGCCAACCGGCGTACAGCATCCCTGGATCCAGATATCTTGCTCACGAGGCTCTCAACCTGCGCCCATTCCCGCTCCTCCGCAGCATTGGTGAGAACACGCTGTGACGGTACGCGCAGCAGGGGTTCGGGATGGCTTTCTTCCGCCGCCGGGGTCTTAGAGGAGGATGCTCGTTCTAGAGCCCGCTTCCATGAGATAAATTCTTGGTCATTGCTGGCTCTAAGGTGCCAAACTTCAGTGCCGGAGTCAATTGAAAT